CCAACACCATTGAGCCTGTTACAGTAACACCCCACTCCTGGTACCAACTTCTGTCCTAGTTGCTTTTCTGTTGCTATCACAAGGCACCACGACCACAGCAACTTATAAAAAGGTGTCATAGAGCATGGTGGTACACAACATTAGTTCCAGCACTCCAGAGGCAGAGGCAGGTGGATCTCAATGAGTTCAAGGCCAGCCTGATTTACATAGTAAGTTCTAGGACAGCCAGAACTATGTAGAGAGACTCTGTCTCAAAATAAAAGCAGAAAGAAAGAAAATTCCTTCTCCCAGCCACCATTCCCTGCATATAAGTCCCCAGAGAGAGGTGGACCTCTTTTATTTTTTTTAAAGATTTATTTATTATGTATACAATGTTCTGTCTGCATATATGCATGCAGGCCAGAAGAGAGCACCAGATTTCATTACAGATGGCTGTGAGACACCATGTGGTTGCTGGGATTTAAACTCAGGACCTCAAGGAAGAACAACCAGTGCTCTTAACCTCTGAGCCATCTCTCCAGCCCCCAGAGGTGAACCTCTTAAATTCCTCTTCCTTCTATAACTGAATGTTAACTGCCTCAATTTTTTAAAATTCCAGATAGGATTTCTCTGTGTAGCCCTGGCTGTCCTGGATCTCACTCTTAAAACAGGCTGGCCTTGAACTCACAGATCCCCTTGCCTCTGCCTCCCAAGTACTGGGATTAAAGGCGTGCACCATCACTGCCCACCACTGTCTCGATCCTGTGCTTGTCTTGTGTGAGTAACCACAGCTGCTGAAAGTCCTAGGGTGCAATGATGTCATACCAGAAAGACAGCATTCCAAACTCCTGGACCCCTTCTACATCCTATTCACATCCCTTTCTACGAGAGTCTCTGAGCTTGGAGGGGGTGTGCCAAGCAATGAGTCTCTGTAGCAACAGCTGCCCACTACAGAACACACACACAAGCAAACATTACAAAGACATAGCCAGGTGGCAGTGGTGCACACCTTTATTTCCAGTACTCTGGAGGCAGAAGCAGACTGAGTTCGAGGCCAGCCTGGTCTACACAGCTAGTTCCAGGACAACCACGGCTACACAGAAACCCTGTCTCAAAAAACAAACAAACAGGGGGCTGGAGAGATGGCTCAGTGGTTAAGAGTTCTGCCTGTTCTTTCAAAGGTCCTGAGTTCAATTCCCAGCAACCATATGGTGGCGCACAGCCATCTGTAATGAGTCTTGGTACCCTCTTCTGGCCTGCATTGTATACATAATCAATCAATAAATATTTTAAAAACAAACAAACAAACAAACAAACAAAAATCAATGTTTCTGATCAGAACTGAGAGCAGCAGTCATTATGGGCAAATGCAGAAAGATTTAAAAACATTGTGACAGGCGTGTCTATTTAACAAAACTACATCAGACATGGGATGTGGTTGTACATGCCTTCAATCCCAGCACCTAGGAGACGTCGGCAGAGGCAGGTAGGATTCTGTAAGTCTAGACTAGCCTGTTCACATAGCAAATTTCAAGGCAGCCAGTACCACAGAGTGAAATTCTGTAGTGGTTTGAATGAGAATGACCTCCATATATTTGAATATTTGGTTCCTCGTTAGTGGACTGTTTAGGAAGGATTAGGAGGTGTGGCCTTGCTGGAGTCGGTGTGTCACTGGGGGTAGGCTTTGAGGTTTCAAAGGCCCATGCCAGTCCCAGGTCTTTCTCTTCTCTCTCCTCTCTCTCCCTGACTGCTGCGTACAGATCAGGATGTAAAGTTCTCAGCTATTGCCCAGCACCCCGTCTGCTTGCTGGCTACCATATCCTTCACCATGACGGTCCTCTGAAACTGTACGACACCACTTAAATGATTTCTTTGATGAGAGTTGTTTTGGTCATGGTGTCTCTTCACAGAGATAGGACAGTGACTAAGACAGACCCTGATGCAAATAAGTAACTTCCCTAATAGGCCATGGCATTCCCAGCCCCATATTTTTAACCAGGCTCACAATTCATTCATTCATTCATTCATTCATTTATGAGTTGGGTCCTCTTATAGCCCAGGCTGCCCTCCAACCAATTATATAGCCAATGATAACCTTGAATTTCTTAATTTACTGTCTCTACCTCACAGGCATACGACACCATGTTGGCTCTATGTAGTTCTCGGGATTGAACCCAGAGCTGTGTGCATGCTAGGTAAGCATTCTGCTATCTGAACTACAGTCCTGGGCCTAATCTTTTTAATTCTAATTAAGTTAGAATTAAATTTTAATTAGACAGCAAGTTCCAGACCAGCCAGGGCTTGAAAAAAAAAAGGAAGAAGAAAAGAACGAATAAGAAGAATGTAGTTTAGTAGTAGGATGCTTGCTTCTGTTAATTCTAGCTTTAACCTGTTATTGTTGTGTGTATGTGTGTGTATGATTCTGAGCTTGCACATGTCACATCACAGATATGGAGATCAGGGGACTTTTAGGAGTTGGTCTCTCCTGCCATCATGGGATCCTGGGAGCTGCCACAGGTCATCAGACTTTTCCCTGCTCAGGCATTTCACTGGCTGAGTTATAGTTCTCCTAGGAGGAAGCCATGTTGCAAGGAGGTAGAGGAAGGAAAGGAGAAGGAAAAGATGAGGGGCCACTGGATCCTGATTTAAAATCTGGATCCTGATTTTAAAGATTGTACACAATCTTGTTTTCTCCAAAGATAAGTGTGTGACTCTGAGGAGCTGATGACAACCTTGCCTAAACAATCACACAAATTAACAGTTTTCAGTGGAGATTATTTAAATTTGGAGTTCATGCCCATGACCAGGTTAACTTACTTTCCTGTCCTATTGATTAAGAATGTTTGTGAAGCTGCGCGGTGGTGACGCATGTCTTTAATCCCAGCATCCTAGAGGCAGAGGCAGGCGGATCTCTGTGAGTTCGAGGCCAGCCTGGTCTACAAGAGCTAGTTCCAGGACAGGCTCTAAAACTACAGAGAAAGCCTGTCTCGAAAACAAAACAGAAAAATAAAAAAGAATGCTGGTGATAAAATGAGTACTGATTTTATTAACCGCCCTCCTACCCACAGAGGGTGTGTGCCTCCCTCTTTATCGTCTCCTGTGGAGAAGACAGATTGTCCTACAGCACGAAGTGTGCCACATCGTATAATTAGGATGGCCCCGACTGGTGGAGGTGCGTTGATCACTACTGAATCTGCTCCACTGGCATTTGAGGAGGCTTTTCCTGCTGTTGGTCATACTGGAAAAGAAAAGGCTGCGGCTTTACTCTTTTATTTTTATTTATTATATTTGAGGGGAGATGGTTCAGCAGTTAAAAGCACCGGCTACTCCAGCAGAGGGCCCAGATTTGATCCCCAGCACCCATATGGTGGCTTATAACCATCTGTCACTCCAGTCCTATGGGACCCACCACCCTCCTCTAGCCTCCACAGGCCACTACTGTATGGTGTTCTGTCATGGATGAGAATGTAACACTCAGACA